GGTAAATAAGTTTTTCTAAAGTTGCTGCTTCCTCAGGTGGATATCCTTTTTAACAAAAAACAGAATAAATCAATGGATAAATCGAGATGAAATCGAATCAAGATTTTACCTTGAGATTCGAGTTCAAATGCTCGTTCAATATCTGGTTCGTCGACATGTTTAAAGACTAAAGAATTCAAGGTTGATTCAGATGATGACATGTTATTGGATACAGATATCGCGGTGGCATTTATATAATTTATTACGATAGACCAATGAAATTTCAAGATGACTTTGCATGCATGCATGTGAGCTTAAAACTTTTCGTGATTATTTTCATCTATTGTAATTTCGATGTTATTCTATTCAATATTCCAATTCTCTTCTCGACAACACTACGAATTGTATTTACGAACAAAGTTCTCATTCATCAAATCGTTGCAATCCAGTCATATTCGCTTGTTTTCCCTCAACTCTAAGTCTCCAAGTAAATTATTTCTGGTAAATCTGAAATATTGTCAGAATGGAAAGTCTGAAATATCAGCAACAGCGTTCCCAAAAATTTTTGTCCGAATGCATACGAATAAGATCTCTTCTCAATTCGACAAACAATCTCCTGATCGGATGTTAATTTATGTTGGTCCATTTGCAAAGAATCTTATGCTTTATATAAGGTTGGCTGCATTTTTCTGCGCCTTGGGGTTCTTAATGACCCCGACAATGCTAATGTATGGGAAAGCTCCTATTGCGGGAATTATAGGTAATTACTTCAAATTATTCAAAAGGTCAATTCCTCATTTCTAATTTTTCTGTTAAAATTTCCGCATAGCTCCAATAGCGGTAACAATCCCAACATTCTTCATCAACAAGATGAGCGCAACCTACGTAAGCCGTTTATACATCGATCTACCTCCGAAGATTCGCTATAACCCTAAAATGCGAAGGACTTTTAATCCAAAAACTATAGATCCACCCGGGGGAAATCCTATCATAATTATAGAAACGTATAATTGGCTAGGTATAACGCGAGAACAAAGCGTAAGGCTTAATGAATTGAAAGAGTATAAAGGCTCCAATAAATGGGTTACATGGTTTAGAGCTAGTAATGGCGGAGGAGGGCCGACAAGATTTTATGTGGAGAAAGAGACGATGAGACGAGATCCGTTTACTAAAGGTCTAGTGGAATTTATTGAGAAGAAGAGTAGTTCATCACAAGTGTAAAGTCATTGAGAAGTAATTTTCACAATAATTAAGATGACAAAACGTGTACGGATATTAAAAGATTTCATTACGATTTTATTATTTTTGTGTTCCTCTCTTTACAAAGGATGATAAGCATAAAGTTAGCAATCTGTTAAACCAAACTTCAGTTCAAGGTATACAACAATCTAGGAAATGAGATAACGATGATTTAGAATCTAATATACTTTTAAATTTTCTTATAAAGGTTTATTAACATTAAATTTTATTTTATTTTTATATGATTGGTTGTTTTTTTTTTCTATTTTCAAATTATTATATATAAAAATAATATAAAAATCACAATATTTTAAATTTGGTATCGAATTAAAAGGTATTTCATTCAAAATTTAACATGCCAGTCACTTTAGTTTCGATATAAAAGATTTATTGTTTAGTTTATTGACTTATTAGTTTTGAAAAAAAAATTTTTAAATATTAAAATCAAAAATTTGTTATAAAACTAACAAATTTTTCATTAAAAATAGAAATTATTTAATAATAATATATTTTTTTTTAAAAAAAATATAAGAATTTAACAAAACAAAGTCTAAATTAGGTACTTTAAGTCAGATTTAGAAAAAAGAATAATATTTTACTTTTCTAATAAATTGCTACTAAATCTTTATTTATCAGGCTTATT